TTTTTTTTTTTTTTTTTTGCATTTCAGTATTTCTGAAATCAGATAATCTAAAAATTAATATGTATAATTAATGAAGTATTGTTTCTTTTCTCCCCCTGAAAACTATGATAAAATCCATGCTGTGTTTTACAATTGATGGTATTTTTAAATTAAGGAAATCTAGTGATGAGAATAGCTGTTGGCCTTCAGAACTCAATTCTTCAGTAGTCATAGTCTCTCAGGTGTCTTAGTTTCAGAGATTTCAATAGATTTTACCATGGAATGGTGAACACCATAAAGTCAGGCAATGTCTGCTTGAATCAGAGAGGAGAACTCTCACAGTGGCTTTACAACGTTCGTATCTCACCCAGTCACTTCCAAATGTGCCCCTCCTATCAGAGCATCCACGTAACAAAGGGGAGAAGAGCTTTCTGATGCTTATGAAGTCCAGGGGTATAACTCATCTTTTGATGTCAACTGATGTACACCACTGCCACACTGATCTCGGCCACGCCTGAGTATTCTACATCAGGCATCAGTCCTAACTTACTTGGAATTTAAATACCAGATGGAGTGCAGTTCCTCTACCCTTACTCACAGGCCTCTGACTAACCCCAAGCAAAGATGCCTTCAGATCTGCTTTATAGTTGTTTAGAAACAAGAGAAAAGTCATTATGCAAATATAAGTCATTCAAAACAATTCAGTCTTAAGGAGATAATAACTAGCAGAGAAATGGAGAGATAAACTGTTAGTTCTGGGAGTTCAAACTACTGCCTTCAGTGCTATGCTACTGGACCAAAAGATAATTACCACTAGACCTCAGTAACAATGTTCATTGTTAATATAACTCACCAATGACAGAGGAGAACTGAGAGCCATGCACTTGGATCTCATTTAATTTAATCACAAAACAAACCTCAACTATAGCTGTTATTCTCCCATTATAATCATGAAGAAACCAGGGCTTTTGCGGAGTGAGTGACCTGGCCAAGACCATACAGCCGGAAATGTAAGGGTAGGAGTGAGGAGTTTAATTACCAAACTATCCTGCCTTCTGCTACTAACTGCTTCACAAAGAGAGAAACTTACTGCATCGGTTAACAGACACTGGCATGACAGAGCATGTCTTATTTCTAAATATCTCATTCATCCAACAAACATTTTAGTGATTCTAGACCATCAAAGGACAACTGCACAAAGTACTTGGAAAACAAATATTTAATAATAATGTAATTATAATTACAATCTCTATATACAGTGCCTTTGTAAACATTCTTTCCATCATCTTCAGATTCAGTCTAAAAACAATCGTGCGCTGTACTTTTCTTTTCACGTGGGGTTTAAACTATTGTTTCACATTTAACAAAAAATATTCTATTTAAAGTAACATACTTTTATGTTCAATGTAAACAAACTTCACAGGTTTCCACTTTCATTTTCTTCTGACATCTTCTGCAAAAGAATGCTGTCTGCTCATTTTTTGGATTAAAGAGACTAGAATAATGTGACTGGGGCTGGGCGTAGTGGCTCATGCCTGTAATCCCAGCACTTTGGCAGGCCAAGGCAGGCGGATCACTTGAGGCCCGGAGTTCGAGACCAGCCTGGCCAATAAGGTGAAACCTTGTCTCCACTAAAAATACAAAAACTGGCCAGGCGTGGTAGCGTGTGCCTATAATCCCAGCTACTCAGGAGGCTAAGGCAGGAGAATCGCTTGAACCTGGGAGGCGGAGGTTTCGGTGAGCTGAGATCTTGCCATTGCACTCCAGCCTGGGCGACAGAGCAAGACTCCGTTTCACAAATAAATAAATAAATAAAAATAGAATAATGTGACTGGGAGAGACTTAAAGTGAGGAAAAACGAGCATCGAAAGAACTAGTAAACCAGCTGGAGATGGACCAACTCCCCAAGTCTCCAGAGAGGCAGATAAGGGACTGTAGGCCAGCAAATGCCACCTGCCTGTTATCTAGCTCAGAAAGGTGCACACCTCTGAAAGCGGCTGAGTTTAAGTCCAGTGTGGCACTTTCAGAAAATGGCATCAAAGGTTGGGCTATAAATCTTTCTTATTCTCAAGTCACTGGACATTTAAGAGCAAAGATATTGATGGGCTCTTTCCCTCCTTTTCTTTCTCCTTGTAGCAGATGTATGATTCATGGATTGTCCTTTTGTGGTCTCCATTTTCATCTTATTACTTTTTCTTTGCTTCTGCTTTCTGACAGCCCTGGAAAACAAGGCGCTAAATTATTTCACAGAATGAGCACAGTGAATTATGTAATTATGTTGAAGTTTAATTAACTAGCTAACCAAATAAGAAAATAGAAGAAGGGAAAGCATCTAGTGTATTGCAAGCATAAATCCTCAGTGTCCTAACCATAACAACAAGGAAACAGAGGCCTGACCAGCAAAATGTTTGAGAAAAAAAAAATTTTCTTTAAAAGACGGTTACTACGAATTTAGAATAAGCCGGTCGGGGCAAACTCACCACAGAGGTAAATGCAAAGCAGGTGAGTTTGGATTTTATTATTTTGTATTTATTTATTTATTTTGAGATGGAGTTCACTCTGTTGCCCAGGCTAAAGCGCACACCACAACTTCCACCTCCTGGGTTCAATCGATTCTCCTGCCTCAGCCTCCCGAGTAGCTGGGTCTACAGGCATGTGCCACCAGGCCCAGTTAATTTTTTGTATTTTTAGTAGAAATGGGGTTTCACTATGTTGGCCAGGCTAGTCTCGAACTCCTGACCTTGTGATCCACCCACCTCATCCTCCCAAAGTGCTGGGATTACAGGTGTCAGCCACTGTGCCCGGCTGAGCATGATTTGTCTCTTTAAAAAGTGTTTTGTACATCTGTACTGCTCAACTCAGCACTTCAATCTCCAAATCCTTGAATTCTGTTTTTTAGGAGAGGGGCTGATGCATGGGGCAGTTAGCAGAGGCAGGAAAATGAAACAGCACAATGGAAAACACTGACAAGCCTTGAAAGGGCCCGTTTCCTACGTCCTGCGGATTTTCCTTTCCTCAGCAGATCAAAAGTCCTGACAAGTGTCACCCAGGGTATTGGCATTTTGTGGTCCTTATCTTGAAGACTAGCTTCAAAATAAACAAGCTGGAACTTACCCTCTAAAAACACTGAACCACACCAGACAAAACAGATTCTTAGTTTCTGGTGTTCTCCAAAGTAAGTTACAGGTGACCTGTGGCTAAGAAGATTACAGGCCCATCCATTCACTTCCTCCAAGCTAGGAGAATCATACCACTCATCATATCGAGAACCAAGGAACAGGCCGGAGCTATAGCACTGGCAAACCTGGAATCTTCCCGATTACCCAGCAATATCAATTTTTACGTTCACGTCTCATAAGCTTCTTCATAGAAAAGCTTATTCTTGATCTTGCCAGGGGAAAACCTGGGAGAAGAGCTTCATGAACAGTGTATCCCCGGTTTATGCCTCACTTTTTGTTTACTCAGCATATATGTCAGCTGTTGAGAATACAAAAATGAATAGGCATAATTGTTGACTTCAAGGAGCTGGGAGACAGAGACAAAGGCGATCAGCACCCCCTCCTCTCCACCCTTACTTTTTTTAGGCAAAGGTATCGAGGCTATGAAATCAATGATCATCCCATGAGGAACTGGCAGAACCACCTTGACTCCAGAACCTGTGCTCTTAATCACCTTGATACTACATACGCTACTGTAAATTATTCATATATGCAAACTACTAACCATATAATAATCATTCAATACATATTAGCTATTATTAGTTCCACGTGACCATTATGCAGAATTTTGCCTGACAACTTTAAATTTTTTCATATTTAGATTTTGCACTATGGACTGGGGTTATCAGTTTAAAATAAAACAGTCTACAGAAGGAGTAGAATTGAAAACTAAAACAAAAAAGTCATCTTTATACGATTATACTGATTCTTGCATACTATATAAATCTACTTCCCCAGTCACTTTTTTAATAGGATAATTTCTTGATAAGTGATGATTTAGCAAACTTAATGAAGTATAGTACAATCTCTAGTGGCAAAGTCAATGAAGCCATGTGTGCCTGTACACAAAATTTAAGTTTCTCTTTGGCTCATGCACATATAAGCAAGACTAAAAATGAACCAGGTTTCACTAGGGGTTACGGTAAACAAAAACGGGAGGAAAATATTTGAAAATATTCGTTTGTACTATGAATATACAAAACTTTCCAGATATAAAGTCTTTGAACAGCGATGAACTGACTATAAGTCAGTTTTATTTCGTCTTAAAATTAAATCGACCTAGTATTTGTCCTCTAAAGTATAGGTATTTATGTAACTGATAAAATGATTTTTAACCACAAGAGGGAGCCAGCATCATTCCAGTTGGCAATGAAAGAAAAATTAACAACAAGGAAAAACAGATTAATATAAGACAGCTGTAAAAGGCATGAGATGGAAAGCCTTTTTATGCCACGTATGCTAAAAAGGCTGTTATTTTTCACTATTATAAAAAAAAATAATTTTGCTTTGTGAATTTCATTATAATTTTTTTTTGAAAGCAATAATTATTAACAGGAATTTAGGAGTCTTTGAGAAAAGAAGTAGTATTATTTAAAAATTATCAGGCATCCACATCTCAAAAGATTTGCTCTTGGAATTAAACTTGATAAAATCTAGTACTGAAAGATGCTAGATGATTTCCCCTAATGAAATAGTGTATTAGTGCCAAACAGACTAGCTGAGGCTATTCAGGAAGCAATGAAGAGCCTACAATAGAGTATTAAAACGCAAATTTAGTTTCCACGTAAGCTCACAGAATTAAAGGCTGAGCATGTTACTGACTCCTGTTCCCACCCAGAATTACACTGTCAATAGTGCAACAGTCCCAGACCAATATGTTTTTGAGGCTGTATTCAATTTTTGAACATTTATTCTAAGGGAAAACATTTCATAAGATTCTTCAATAAACTTCTTTAATTGATTTTTAAAAATGCTATTCTGGATTACCCAGTGGAAATAATTATTTGAAATAGAGTAAATTTAGGAAAGAGACAGTTGTAACAGTAGCCAGAATTCAAGTGGCTGGATCACAATGGAAAAAAAAGTTTTCACTGACTACAAATAAACAAAACACATGAGAAAGAATTCTAATATTATCATAAATAATGACAAAAGCATCAGATATTTCTAATATGAATCAATTTTTTGGAATCACAAGACATATGGTAGTCAAACATTTTTACCCTAATCTCAATTTTCACGTAATGTCAAATTTAGCTATCTGGTAATCTCCAATTAATAACTGTGTGACATTAGTTTTCTTATCAATAAAGCAAGAGGACTTAAAACTATCATCCCATCTAGTTAGAAAAAAAGTATAACCATTCAAGTTAGCCTGGTTAAAATAGAAATGTTTTTCTTTTTTGGCTTTGTTTTGGGGATAACTATTCCAGAAGCAATGGCTTTTCTAAATATGTTATTGTCATTGGTATCACTTTACTGAGTTGTAATCCATAGCTGTAATCAAATATTGGTAAGAGACATGAAAATAATTACAGAAAAAATGGTAACAAAAATTTCAAGTACTTAAGTAAGCATGTCTAAATATTTTTCTTGAAATCTGATATAAAGAAGTAACTTTCTACAATTTGCCTACTGTGGAAGTACTCGCTATTCAATCTGAAATGCCTTCTCCAGCCTTTCCTGCCATCCTGTGTCTATATCTGATCTGTCCCTCAAAGCCTGACTTAAATACCATGTCCTTCAATAAAGCATGAATAGTCACCCCCTACAACTTTACACATGAGACGTAAAGCTAATGAGATGTAAAGTTTTCTTCTACCTCATATTTTGGTTATTTTCATGTCTAAGCTCTTTGAAAGCAAGCTCTTTGAATCATCTTCCTCTCCTCCATCCGCCCATCTATGCAGCCAATACGTAATACTGAAAGTGACAATTAACCTGGCACTTCAAAATCCTCTGAATGTTGCATGCTTTTGTGGAGTACCCTGTATAAAACACAGAGGGAATACATTTTTCTAGTAAAGTATTCGACTGACTTGTTAGCTCTTTTAGATGTAGCGATGTTAGGACAGGCACTGCGTTTATGATCCAGTTCACCACAAATAAAGCAGCCATCTTTGGGGCCCTGGCAAGAATGGTCTGGAACAGCACAGTGACTGCAAATGCTACAGTGGATCCAGGCTGTAAAATAAAAATTAAGTTTCAAAAGAAGTTCATGTAATGTAATTTTTCATCTTATTAACCTTTAAGGTAGGATATACGAACAGTGTTTACTTGAAGAATTGTGGCTAGTTTGCACAGCTAGTTTTTGTTCAGCTAAATGAAGAAGTTAGAACTCCACATAAACTAGCTAACTTCTGAATGGCAAGAATTTCAGCCCTTCTCCAGTGAGTTATGAGCTGACAGCTATTGTCACAATGGAGGCTGGCTGAGTGACACAATGCCTTATTAAAATAAGTAAAACCAAATGCCACACTGAAACAGGTTAGCAGTCATCTCTCCTGCAAGGCAGAACAAGGCAGAACATACATGTTGATAACTATAAAATTAAAAAGCAAATAAATTACAAGTCTCTACAATAATTATTTTTTCTTTTAAAATCCAATGAAAAATCCTATTTAGATGGAGAAAAACTCCATCTAAATGTATTCATAGGATCTCAAACACTAAGTATCAATACTTACAAGGCTTTACACACTTTTTGCAGAGAAAGCAATGGTTCCACTTCCTTCCGTCCTACAAAAAAAAAAATTTTAAATCATATTTAATTTGTTATTAAAAATCAAGTTCTACAATTAAAAATTAAAATGTCTTATTAAAATCTGTGTAAATTATTCATTCCCTATTTCTGCCTTTTCTGGGCTTCACAATTAAATACTTTGATTTTAATTTATGCGTTTCTCCACTCAACTCAAATGCCTCCTTGATGGGCCTCAATTTCCTTAACTGTAAAACTAGGAGATTTATCTAAATCATCTTGAAAATCCACTCCAGTTCGAGCAACTCAATCTGCACAAAGAAGGACTCAAATGAAAATTTCAAGAGAATTAATGATTCATAATTTTATGTGTCTATACTGTATAATCCTTAATGAAATTCATATTTGAGAGCTTTACATAATTTAGAAAGATAGATTATAGGTTACTGTTTGATTAATTTTAAAACTGTGAAATAAAAAATATCTAGAAAAGTGCATAAAACATACCCAATTTAATGTGTATTATAAAGCAAACATGGATGAAACCCACCAGGTCAAGAAAGAATACCACCAGCCCTCTGGAAACTCCCCCTGTGCCCCTACTCGATCACAGCATTTTTCCCTTTCCCTCCAAGTAACACCTATTCCGTTTTTGTGACTGTCATTTCCTTGCTCTTGCTTCCTTTTACCACCTTTGTGTGCATCTCTAAATAATAAGTGCATTTTCCTCAACTTTAAACTATACAATCTGGGCATAATTTTTTTTTAATGAAGAATACACATCATGTCTCAACTAATACAAACTAAATATAAACATTCAGATGTATTAACATTGTTAAAAACAAGTATAACCAGTAATATCATTATATAATCATGGAAAATATAATATTATATAATCATGAAAAATGTACTTTCTAATATTTACATAAATACAGCCTATTCTTTGTAGAATAATTTGTGCTTATGAGCCGATCTAAACTTCACAGGCCCTTTCTGACCAGATTTAGTTAAAATAAACAAAACAACTTAAGGGTCATCTTGCCTTCCCACAAAATTAGGAGGTTTATTTATAATCGCCAAAACTTGGAAACAACCAAGGTTTCCTTCAGTAGGTGAATAAGTAAACGAATTGTGGTACATCAAAGGAATATCATTCAGCACTAACAAAAAATGAGCTATCAAACCGTGAAAAGACATGAAGGAGCATTTAATGACTATTACTAAGTAAAAGAAGCCAATCTGAAAGGCTGTATATGGTATGATTCCAACTGTATGACATTCTGGAAAAGGAAAAACTATGCAGACGGTAAAATGATAGTATAGTGGTAGCCAAAGATACCCTTCAGGAATAAGGATGAGTAGGCAGAACACAAAAGATTTTTAGTGAAAACAGTGAAACCACTCTGTATGACACTGTAATGGTGAAAACATGTCATTATACATTTTTCAAACTCATACAATGTAAAACACCAAGAGTGAACCCAATGTCAACTATGGACTCCAGGTGTTAATGAGGTGTCAACACAGGTCCATCAGTTGTAACAAATACCCTCCTCTGGTGAAGATGCTGACAGTTGGGTAGAATGTGCATGTGTGGGGGCAGGGGACATATGAGGAATCTGTACCTTTTGCTCGATTTTGCTGTGAACCTAAAGCTGCTCTAAAGAACTAAGTCTATTAAGAAAAAATAATACCTAAATAAATAAATAAATAGGAGGTATGTCCCTTTGCAGTCCTTCATCTGTAAAAAAATCACGAGTAACTGTACCTAATAAGGCTGTTGTGAGGATTAAATGAGTTAATCCATGTAAAGCTCTTAGGAAAGTGTCTGGCATATTAAAAGTGCACAGTACATGTTATTAATTATTTCATCAGAATGATGATGGTAACTAATAGCTCAATGCTTTATTTGAAACACCATAATTTTGCCCTCAACATACACATAATTGAGCATTCATTTAATGCCTTATTTGAAACACTGATAATTTTAGCAGTCACACCGTACCACATGAAGATGAATTCAAATAACTATTGGTGATGATGAAGGCAGTTAAGTGTTTTCAAAAGCCTGTTGTATGCTATAATTTAAAATGTTGTATTATAATTAATAAATGATAATACATATGAAGACAAATCATATTAACAAAAGAACATTTAAAAAGTAATAAAACTAGTAAACTAAAATGAAATGAATATGTCTCAGTAAAAATACATTCTATAAGAACACCATACCTTGGATGGGCAAGAATTACAGTGCTCACAGTGCTGATTCTCTAGAGAAACATATCGTTGACACAAAGAGCAAAATCTAAAGAGTAAAGGACAGAGAAATAGGCTGCATATATTTATTGAGATTTACAGAGTAAATAAAAGTTTACAAAGCACTTATTACAAAAACTGGGTATAATATGAATTCAATTCATTATGAAATTATGGACCTAATTTAAAAGTAATAGAATAACATAATTCAATACTGAAAGCATTTTGCTGATAGATATATGTAACTTCATTTTCAGTGACTCATGAACTTCAAAGTTCCACTGTGATCTTACCTGTACCCTTCTTCAGTAGGAAGAATTATTTTGTTGAGTGGAATGTTGGTGAAAATACGCACAGGAGACTGTTTTCGACCTGTCTTTCCATGTTTATAAAGTGCATGATTATCATAATCTACCTAGAAAGTTAAAAATTAAAGCAGGAAGAAAATTTACTCAAATTAGTCAACATTAGGATTTTTTAACCAATACATGAACAAGCTGATGCCAATACAGGAGTTAAACTATTGTCATGCCAAATATCAGGTTCCAGCCCAAGCTGAGGACTGAGGGGAGTGGGTGGACCAGTGGTGGGTAGCTAGAATAACACTTGAGGATTATAGACAGTTTCGACATGGCTTTTACTCTCTCTGAGTGTGAGTAAGGCTGGGAGTGAGCCGTGGGTGCCAGCCGAACTGGGTGCAGGCCGTTATGTACAGCGCTAGCAGGGTAATTCTATCTTTTACAGATAATAATGGCTCCAAGCCAAGCACGAGCTCATGTGGGTGATCACCTAATGCGCCTCACATGGCATGGTTACATAATGTGCAGAATTCCATGACTGCACTCCAAACCCGTTGTCATGCTGTGCCGGAAAGCCACGTAGGCCTACTCCTGACAAAAGCGCAGCCAACTCCTTCACACTCCACTCCCTTGGCCAAGGGTGCCCTCTGGGCAGGGACATGTGCCCATGGGTTGGAGCCCTGAATTCATAACACACATCAACAATAAAAAAGCAACAGCTCCAGGTTATGGCGGACAACTACCCCATAATGACATCACCGCAATGTTGCTTTATACATTAAGTCAGTTTTTTTGTTCCCCTACCTCTAAAGGTGTTGGGGCAGGCAATGACAGGTTACCTCTTGTCCCTATACCTGGTTGGAGGAGGTCATCCTTCCTCCTCTAGGTCCTGCCACATGGCCTGGCCCCACATGGCCTGGTGACCAACTAGTCACCTTTGTAACTTCTAGGTAGTTAACTGTCCAGCTATCAGTACAGATTACCATAGGTGTCACCTCCTTAGTGATCACCATCCACACTGCTCTAAGTTCAGCCCATTGGCTACTTTGCCCATATCTGATTTCAAATCATATGGTGTCAGTACTAGGTTGGAATGCAACAGCAGTCTAGGCAGCAGCAGTACCTTGGCTACGCCCATCTGTGTACCATGCCCCATCGGGAATGGGGGGATGCCCTTCCTTAAACAGCAATGCTCAAGGTGGAGTGTTGCTTCAGGTGCCATGGCCTTATCTTGCATTAGGGCTACAGGTCCCAAGACCTGCAACTCTGCTGCTAAGGGACTTGTACTCAGTGTACTCCGCTGCTCCAAGTAGGTGCCGCACTTTACCAAAGTGGATGTCTGTGCTGTCCCAGTCCAGGGGGGCAGTTATCCATGAATGTACCCATCACACTATCAGGTAAACTGCATGCACAATGACTAGCCCATCCTGCCACGGCAAATGAGTTGCGAACTGCTTCTTTATTGATGAACACCGGGGCTCAGCTCCCTTCCACAGCTGGGACCAAAAATCCACCACTGTTCTCAAGCACTCCATGCACTGCTACAGGCCCCAGCCAAAACTATCGGTGGTCACATACACATCCAGCTCAAACGGGCGCCCCTGGTCAACTATCCTTAGGGCTTATGCCTGCTAAGTGGCCCTCTTGGCTGCCAGGAAGGTGGTCTCAGCCACACCATCTTAATTTTAGGCAAGGGGTGTGTTCCCACTTCTAAATCTGCAAGAGAATCAGAGGTTGGCATAACTTCATTAACAAGACCATGACATATGGTGGGGCCATGCATAAAGCCCTGCGGCAACACTGTGAAAGTCCACTGTCATGAAGGCAAACTATTCCAGGCTCTCTGTAAAACAATACTTTAGCGCGTACTGTCCCAGTTCCATTAAGTGGTCCATCAAGTCCGTGATGGACAGCACAGCTGTCAAGCTCTGTAAAATATCCAACCCCAGAATGTATCTGCACTGGTGTCTACCAGCACCAGCACTTGCTGTGCATTGGTGGGAGACCAGTAGATTGCTAATTTCACATGTAGCCTCCAGTTGCCCAGTGTCTCCCCAAGCCGAGCACCTTGGCCAGTTCCCTCATCAAACAGAAAAGACTTTCACCCCTGCCTGTCTGCAGCACAGTCTTTGAGCTGGAGCGCCTGGGCAGGACCAAGTCGCACAGCAACATTCTTCTCCCGCTTGCGCATTTTCTGGAATTTCTGCTCCAGAGACAACTGTCTCCACAAAGTTAAGAGTACTTCACTGGGCTGCTTATCAATTTTCTCTTGGCCAACTCTGGCCAAAATCAAATCTATTCACATCTGTTAGTGTGTCACTCATTGGGGCCCCATTTTCTCCCCCTCGGGGAACACATGTGGGTGGCACATCTTCCCCTTCTTTACAGCATGGACCCCTTGATCCCACGGACAGCCTCCTTGGCATTAGACCAAGTAGGGGTCTCTGACCCAGATGACGGACCCAGGCTTGCATCCACAGCAGCCTCTAATTCCTTTTCCAAGCTCTGTAGCTGGGCTTCCAGGCACCCTACCTCTTTTTCTGAGCTGTGTAGCTGGCCCTCCAGGCACCCCATGTGTACCTGGAGGGCCCTTGCCTCTACTGCACCCCTCAGGGACTGGGTGTGTACTTCTCTTAGCGCAGTCAAAAAACACCCATCCAATTCTGCTAGCAAAAGCTCCCTCCTTCTCAGGGCTCTGTGCTTCTAGCTGCTTCAGTGCCTTCTCCATGCTTGTGGGGGACCCAACTACTCCTGTCCAGGTTTCCACCGGAGCCCATCCAAGCAGTACAGCTGCCACTGGGCACCATAACCCATGTTGTAGCCACATGGCTGACCCAGAATCAGCGGAACAAAGGCTCACCCTCCTGGGTATACTGTTCATGATGCCAATTGTCATGCCAAGTGTTAGGCTTCAGCCCAAGCTGAGGACCAAGGGGAGTGGATAGACCAGTGCCAGGTTACTGGAAAAACACTCAAGGAATTGCAGTTTCAACATGGCTTTACTCTCTCTGGGTGCAAGCGAGCCTGGGCACAAGCTGACCCAGGCATAAGCTGACCCAGGCATAAGCCATATGCACAGCATTCGCAGGGTAATTATACCTTTTACAGACAATAGTGGCTCCAAGCCAAGCACGAGCTCACATGGGTGATCACCTAATGCGCCTCACGTGGTGTGGTTATATAATGTGCAGTTGTGTGCCCGTGCTCCAAACCCGCTGAGTTATGCTGCACTGGAAAGCCACCTTAGCCTACTCCTGACTAAAGCACAGCCATCTCCCTTACAGTATTTAACAAGAAATTCTTAAGAGCAAGAGTCTACTTATTAACCAACAGCTTCTGTAGCAGTGAAATTTCATTATTAAAAAGGTAAGATTTGTTACGACAAATTCATGTTGTCCAGTATTAAAGGAACTTTCTAATCTCTCATCTAATACAACAGACTTTACAAGAAAGTCTATTATGCATTCCATAACTTAGCTTTTGGCTTTAAAAAATTCAGCCTTTGAAGATGTGTGCTGGTTTGGTTGGGGCTTCCCATTTTGTGTGTGAAATTTGCTCTGTGTCATGTTATGTAACAGAAGGGTACCAATACTTAAAGTGCGGTGAAGATTAACTGGGATAATGTATGTTAAGTACTTATTCAAGGCCTGGCATAAGGTAGAAAAATGGAGATGAAGACACAGGTTCACAATTATAGTTGTTCTCCCCACAGTGACCATTTCAAACATGTACCTCTCTCCTCAAGGTCCCTAACTCAGCCTTTAGTTTCAGCAGATTATCTCAAAAGCAAACTGAAGTGAACCAGCATGACTTCTATTAGCTTCTTGCTTCAGTATCCTCCTCCAAACTATTATCCATGCGCATCCTCAATTTGGTTCTAAGACTGCTATGAATCCACCTGGCCACTAAATCCATCTCTTTGTCAGTAGCTCTCAAAGTGTCGTGTCTGGATCTGCAATGTCAGTGTCACCTGGGATCTTATTAGGAATGCAAATCCTCACCTCACCTAGGACCTAATAAATCAGAAACTCTGGGAGTGGGGCCCAGCGATCTGTGTTTTAACAAGCCCTCCTGGTACACTGAAGTATGAGAACCACTGCTTTAGATTATCCACGAGAATACCATGAGGTTTTTTATGAGGTCAGTACAGGTAGGCTTGGCATTCAAATAAGTTATGCACCAAATTGTTTCTATTATAAACAAGAATACACAAGAACTTACAATAAAACTGGCTCGTAAGCTAGCTATTTAATAAGTGAATCACAAAAACATAAGAAATTGAGGACAGGGGAAAGAGATGCCTTTACGGAGAATTTCCTAGGCTGTTCTCCAGCCCTGTCTAGTTTAAGGCTAAGCTTCAGCAGTGGGAAAAACGAAGTACACTGTAGCACAGGATGAGGAGACCCAAGGGACAGTGTGGAAAATCCCCTAAGGGTTTCTGCTTGTCAGTATGGTGACTCTGCAGTCCAGCATAACTGTGTAAAAGCTGGCACGGATTCACAGTTGACCTGTTTGGAAGTACAGTATCACAACAAGGAAACTTTCAGGGTAGATCACATTTGAAGCCTCATGTTCAGTCACTACATTTCAAAAGAGACATTGATAAAACTAGTTCATTTCTTTGAAAAATAATGGGAATGAACAGAATTTATAGTTTAACAAATTGGGGATGTTTATCCAGAAAAGAGATGACAGGGAGGATCTGATAGCTATTCTATAACTGAAGGGGTGTCGTATGGAATAGAAATTGGACTTATCCTTTATTGCTTCAGAGAATAGAGCTAGGACCAATGGTTGGAAGTTAATGGGGAGCATATTTTATCTCCATATGAGAAAATTTTCTAACGATTAGAGCTATTAAATAAATTGCATTGCCTTCTAAGGCTGTAGGCCTCTGCTCACTGGAAGCATTCAAGTGAGGCTGGATGACGGCTGGTCATGAATTTAGTGGAGAGGATTATTATGTTGGGAAGTCAGCCTAGGTTACCTCTGTTTCTTTCTAACTTTGAAAATTCTATGAATATATGTTATCTATTAGAGGCTAGGGTACGAAATGGATTTTACTACAAAATCACCTTAAAATAGTACTGTAAGTCATTTTCTCTTAAAATCATGT